GAGTAACTAGAGTTCTTGTTCAGTATGAAACATAGAACTCCATGCTTTAACAGTAGAAGCGCATCACCTTCTATCACGTAAAAAGTTATAGATAAATTATCAAATTAATTGTTAAAATTTAATATTTTTTTAATTGTTATTTTTTTATTATAATTTGATTTTTAAAATTTTTTATTTATTTTAAATATTTTGTTTTTTTTTAATTTTTTAATCAAAAAAAATTTAAAATTAATAGATTATATTTGAATATTTTAAAAATAACTTAATAAAATAATTTGAAATAATAAATTAAATTAATAGAATAATAATAGTAATAGAAATGTTTGTATGTTTCATATTTGATATAGCTTTTAAAGCGTTTGTAATTAATTATTTTTATATTTTTATTAAAAAACAAAGAAATTGATGTTTAAAACAAATATAAAATATTATGATTATAATAAGCATTTAATAATTACTAAATTTAACTTAAATTTAAACTCAACATTTACTATTCGATTTTGTTTTTGATTCACACAATTTTCTTCATATCTTAATTATCTAATATATAAAAATTAGTTATAATTTAATTTTTTTAATGTATAAATGAATAAATTATATTTCTGCATTAATAACTTTCTACTACACATGCTAATTAAAGAATGACAAAAATATTTCACTTGAATTGAATATAAAATTAATTTAAAATTAAAATTATATTTTTACCTAAATTTTTATCTTAGTTATATTTTATTCTATTTTTATTATATGAGATGAAATTTCAAAATAAACCCATCATTTCATTAGTATTTTTTTCTTAAATGTTCAAGTGTAATAATACAAGTTGGAATCCATGTGTTAATACAAAGCAAGAATCAGCACCGTTTGGGCACGCGAAAGCGAGTGATTCAACCAAGGACTGGTTACGTGGAGCCTTGCCACCAAACACCTACTTTAACCTAATTCTAAATTCTAAATTGGGTATTTCCTTCGGGTCACTGAACTCTCTGGATCCCGCCTAGTCTCCCTTCTAGAACCCTTCTTCACTTTCTTAGGGTTTACTTACCGCCCATTTCCACTTCCATTCGCTCTTCATTATCAAAAATGGCAGCAGCAGCAACAGCATTACAGGCTCGGTCGTCGAAGACAGAGTCGTACGTGGACAATAAGCGTAAGGATGATATCCGGCAAGCTAACATCATTGCCGCCGGAGCTGTGGCTGACGCTGTACGTACAAGTCTAGGACCGAAGGGAATGGACAAGATGATCTCGACGGCGACAGGCGAGGTCATTATTACCAACGATGGAGCCACCATTCTTAACCGTATGGAGGTTCTCCAGCCTGCAGCAAAGATGCTTGTGGAGCTATCGAAGTCCCAGGACGCCGCTGCAGGTGACGGAACCACCACCGTCGTGGTCATCGCTGGCGCCCTCCTCAAACAGTGCTTCTCTCTCCTTTCGCACGGAATCCACCCTACTGTGATCTCCGATTCTCTTCATAAAGCCTCCCAGAAGGCTGTCGATGTGCTAACCGCCATGGCGATTCCTGTTGAGCTCTCGGATCGTGAATCGCTTATCAAATCTGCAAGCACTTCGCTTAACAGCAAGGTCGTGAGCCAGTACTCTAGTCTGCTCGCTCCTTTAGCCGTAGACGCTGTATTGTCGGTTGTGGATCCTGCCAAGCCCGATTTGGTTGACCTGCGGGACATCAAAATCGTGAAGAAACTAGGCGGGACAGTTGATGATACCGAACTCGTTAAAGGTCTAGTGTTCGACAAGAAGGCGAGCCACGCCGCTGGTGGGCCTACTCGTGTTGAAAATGCGAAGATTGGGGTGATTCAGTTCCAGATTTCACCGCCAAAGACCGATATTGAGCAAAGCATTGTGGTTTCGGATTATACTCAGATGGACAGGATATTGAAGGAGGAGAGGAACTATATATTAGGTATGATTAAGAAGATTAGGGCAACGGGTTGCAACGTCTTGCTGATTCAGAAGAGTATTTTGAGAGATGCCGTGACAGATTTGTCACTTCATTATTTAGCAAAAGCTAAGATTATGGTGGTTAAGGACGTGGAAAGAGATGAGATTGAGTTTATCACCAAGACTTTGAACTGCTTGCCAATTGCTAATGTAGAGCATTTTCGAGCGGAGAAGCTGGGGCATGCTGATGTTGTTGAGGAGGTCTCCCTTGGAGACTCGAAGATCGTGAAGATAATGGGAATTAAGGATATGGGAAGAACCACAACGGTGCTTGTTCGTGGATCAAACCAGTTGGTCATTGATGAGGCAGAGAGGAGCTTGCATGATGCCTTGTGTGTTGTTAGATGTCTGGTGAACAAGAAATTTCTAATTGCAGGTGGTGGTGCGCCGGAGATTGAGCTTTCAAGGCAGCTTGGCGCATGGGCCAAGGTGTTGCACGGAATGGAGGGATACTGCGTGAAGTCATTTGCTGAGGCACTGGAGGTTATTCCTTATACATTGGCTGAGAATGCAGGGTTGAATCCTATTGCAATTGTGACTGAGCTGAGGAATAGACATGCTCAGGGAGAGATCAATTCTGGTATCAATGTGAGAAAAGGGCAGATTACCAATATCTTGGAGGAGAATGTGGTGCAGCCCCTGCTGGTTAGTACCAGTGCAATTACCCTTGCAACGGAGTGCGTGCGGATGATTTTGAAGATTGATGATATTGTTCCTGTGAGGTAGTTCTGAAACAAAGGGAAATATATGTTAGCACTGTTATCTTTTGTGTGTGTGATCTTTGAAAGTAGCTCTTTTCCTTTAGGCTTGTTATGGCTAAAGATTTTGAAGTCTTTTTGCTAATTGCTTGCTACTTTGCTTAGCATATGTATCTGTTATTTTGCTTTCATCAGAATCTTGTTATTCTTTCTCTCTTCACGTGCATGTAGACCTGATGAGGTCTTCTTTTAAGCTTATCATATTTACTTTGTTCAAGTTTGGAGGGTTTATTAAATGTTAAAGAGAAGCTATTCCAAGTGAGTATTTCTCAAGCAACTGACTGACAAACATGTCATTTAACTTGTGATAAGGCCTTAACAACTCTATAAGCAAGGAAGTGCATCTTTCTGGAAGTGAGATAGTCCTAGCTAGCTAGATACACAAATTGTTGATAGTTTGTTTTTCTTGATAGATTAGTATTTTGGGCTCAGTATATGCTAATTATGTTTCGGAATTGTCCATCATATTTCTTTAAAATATATTCGTCCAAAATACATTGGCAAAAGGAAGAATACCAGCTTGTTCTCTATGTAAGAGAGCGGCTGAAACCTGCAATCATCTACTATTATGGTGTCCTATTGCTTACGATTTATGGTCAATGGTGTATGGGCTGCTGGGTGGGGGCGGGCTCAGTTAAAGAGGAGATTTGGGCGTGCAGTGGGGTGGGTAGAAAGAAGAATTTTATTAATCTCATTCCCTTGACTGTTTTCTGGGTTATCTGGAAAGAGAGGAATAGAAGAGCTTTTGAAGGGATGGAGAGTGATATTGTTCAAATTAAAGATCGGTGGTATTATTATTTGGCTCGATTTTTTTGGGGCACGACATGTATAAGGAGGAGGATTTTGGACATGTTATAGATAGTATTACTGAATTGTAAATAATTTGTATATGGGTTGCACCCCCTTGGTGCTCTTGCAATACTGCTGTTTATATTTTTTATTTCAGAAAGAAAAAAGAAAATAACAGTTAGGTTATGGATTATGTGTTTGAAGAAGGACTTCCATGTGTATAATTTTGAGGGATCCAAGATCCAAATCCTACTATCAGGTTGTTGGCTATATTGGAATGGTTCTAACAATCTTAGCAGGGTTAGCATATTATTAGTCTTCCGATTGGATGGACTTCTGCATAAATAGTTCAATTTGTAGGATACAAAATAAGAGATGGGTGCATTGTGGCCTGATGAAATATTATATTTGGAAGGAAACTGATTGGCAGAACTGCTATTGTCAATTTAAGAATCCTCCAAAAACCACACTGTCGAGCCATGTCCTGCTTTTGACACGGAAGAGGGACGCAAAGGTGTTGCAATTTGAAAATAGTTATGGGATGTAGAATTTCATGCTACAACATCCCATCAATTTTTGTGAGCACCATGAATGCTTTTTATCACTCTAATGGCAAAGCCATTTAGTCAATAAACACAAATTTTTTTGGTACTAGATACCCAACATCCAGCTACCATAAACTTTGGATGGATAACGCACATTGTGATTTACGAAATAATGCCTATATTTCTCCTCGTCTCAGCCTGTAAAAACACCCATAATTCCCTCTATCCACTCAATCATCACTATCAGTATTCTAAACAGAGACAAATAACAAAGTGCTATGCTAGACAGAGACACCTATGATTGACAATAGCAGTGGTCGAGAGGAAGAGAACAAGCCCCCTTTCGAATACTCCAGTCTGTTAGACACCTTGCTAACCACTCCAGTCTTCTGTCTGCGCGGAAGTATGATGAGTTAAATCTTATAGGAGTTTTAATAAACAATAAGCTAAATTTGGTTCAAAATGTTAATTCCATGGTAGAAATAGGATTAAGTTTGAAAGGGAATAATACTTTAAAAATGTTTTTCCAATTTAAGCTAGGTGAATTTATAATTTCTACCTAAAAAAGTTGGCCTAAAAATCAATTCTCAAGAAATGCAAGATAAGACCAGAGTTCAGTATCAAATATGAAACTTGCCATAAAATTATACGTATTAATAAAGTCAAGGAATTGATTTGGAATACAAAGAAAATATAACGTACTGTGCCATTAGACCTAGTTAGAATTTTATTACTAGTTTGCCAGTTGCCTGTTTTCCTGCCCTGGTTGACTGGCATCTTCTGTTAGATTGCAATTGTCATTTACTTAGAAAGTCCAATATGACTATAATTATAGGTCGTATTGTAATTATGTACTTGTGCAAAGAAAGCTATGTTTTGATGTGATTGTTGATTTTACCGAAGTGCTTTGTCTATATGGAGTGTGCTGCTGCTTGTTGCTTTTGCAATAATCTAGATTAACTGGCTTTCCTTTTGCAATAATCTAGTTTGCCTCTGCTCGGATGTGGTTAACTGGCAAACTAGCTTGATAGCTACACCTTTCACACCGAAGCAATTTTATTTTGTAAGTTATAAATAATGCTTGATATTGACCTCCAATTGCTAGCACATTTTTTTACGTTTCTTATTGAACAGATGCTCTGAGTTGCTATTGCTAACTCTAGCTTTCTTGACTCTTGGATACATTTGGACTTGGAAATCACATTTTAGTTTAAGTAGGAGCTAATGCACTTTTTAAGGGAAAATAATAAAAAATTAACCTGATATGAAACTTGAAGTGGTGATCCTCATAGGAAGTTTCAAGTGGAATTGAAATAATGTGATGTAACTTGTATTGGAATTGATAAAATTTGGAATATATTGTTTTAATTCACTTGAAATTTCTTAGCTCTAGCTTATTATTTTAGATAGGAGTTTTACTTTCTTGTAATTATACATATTATGAATTTCTAAACGAATTCTACAAAAGTTTTTGATTGAGTCTCTTTTTCGATCTCTAGAAAAATTTATGCATAAATATGAGGAAAATTGAGCATACAATCTAACCAGCCACACAGGTTAGTTGGGCCAAATCTCTAGTATTTTCAAAGGCTGATTTTTTTAACGAAGTAAAAAATAGGCATTAGTCATCATGTTTATTATAGTTGAACATGCATCATGGTGCAATAGGAACAAGATGGGAAAACTTGTTCTAAATAATATTTAAATAAGTACCCAGTTGAAGTGCACAGTTTTAGGAAGCTTCATTCTCAATAACTAAACCCACAACAAGCTAAAGAGATTTTACCTGATCCCACTTCAACCGACCAAATCAGAGAGTCGGGAGCAAATTACAATGTACATGTAATTGAAGTTGGCTCTGAAATTGCATATGCACTTGTGCCAAAAGCCAGCTTGGCCGCATCGGCAAGACAATTTAAAACTACTATTGACTATTGAGAAGCACAGACCCTCCTAGATTTTATATACTTTTGTGCTTACAATCGTAAGACCAGAAGGATGAAATCCCGGTTAAATCTAAATTTGAACTATTCTCATCACAGATATATACAGGACCATCTCATGGTATGTCTGATACTGTAGAACCATCAAGAAGTGATTTTTTCAAGGTATCTTCTTGGTTTTCCAGTTTATTTTCTTCATTTTTACCCCATAAAACTGAGTAGAGCCCAAGCATGATGAAAACTGCTCCGACGATCCTAAAACCAAAATAGAGAGGGGGAAAAAAGGATATATCAGATTAGGGCAAATTGGAGAAGTTCAGGATTGAAGTAGTTTGTGAAATCTATCTTACCTTCCTAAGTACAACTGGTCACCAAGAATTAAGAATGCCATGATAGCTACTAAAAGAGTCTGCATCGGCTGGAAGACGGCAACAAAAACCGGACCACTCTTGTGAATACACCATGTTTGGAGATAGACAACAATCCCAGATGCGACAATTCCCTGAGAAAGACAAAAAAGAACATACTGATATGAAATCACTGTTTAAAATGTCAACCATTTATGTCCTATATAAAATTCAAGATAAAATGAAGTATTGAAGTCATTACAGCATAAAGGATTGTGAAAAGCTCTTCTCCTGACTGGATTATCCAGTTATTGAAATCAGTTTCCAAAAATGCTGCTATGACTAAAAATTGGATCAATCCGAAGAAGCACATATACGAAGTGAGTGTGAGTTTAGCTGGATATTTCTTCAGCACCGGAGCCTGAATTTCGAAATTCTAGTTAGCTAAGTATTCTTTACTAGACCATTAAGAGAAAGAGAACACTTTGTTCATCCACTTGGTTGAATAATGACAAGCTAACCTGGAATACCATCCAACCTGCCCAGGACAAGCAATGACCGAGCAAGTATATACATCCCCATGTCCAGTTCTGTGCTTTTCTTTCAGATATTTCTTCTACTAAGTTCTTTTCTGGCATATTTAGAATCTGGTGCAGAAGAGGGGGTCCTTGGTAGAGGGTAATAATGGTGGCACCTCCTATACTTGCAACAGTCCCCAAAATTTTTGCTAATCCATCTTTTCTTCCAAAGTTAACTTCTTCAAGCCTGAAAAAGGAGATAAAAACAAAAATGAAGAGAAAGGATGATCACTTAACTATTCTCGAAATACTTCCATAGAAACCAATAAGGATTTCGGTATAGGGACTCGATACCTTAAAACGGCAGCCATGATAAAAGTGATTGCAGGAACCAAGTTTTGTATTGCGGAAGCAAAGGTAGGAGATGCATAGTACAATCCCAACAGATAAAACCCTTGGTTTGCAGTTATTCTGATCACCAAAGGAAAAATATGTATGTATCAGAAATTTAAAAGTAGTAAAAATATTTGTTTACTTCATTAAAATGTTTGCTTCATTTTCATTTAGTTCCTAGTTAATTCCTAATTTAAATTCTCATATATTGGTCTTTAGTATGTGCATCAGCATATAATTTCTTGTGTTTTAGTTATCAACACCTCCACTTTGATTTTTTTGTGAAAATTCAATTAATAAATCCTTTTCACTTTTAACTTCTTTGAACTCATAACTAGAAATGAATTACATTTTCACTATTAAAGAATTCAAAGTGGGAGCGACTATGATTTGAATCAAATGCAATTTTATAAACTAGGTAAGTGATAAAGAGTAAATCTGTAAAGCTCATGTTCTTCATACCCTATTAATGCTAGAAGGAAGAACTGAACCAACAAAGAAAAGGTTAGAGGTGGTCTCTCCTTCCTGAAAAAAAAAAACAAAAATTAACAAGAAGTGAAACTAAAATTTCTCATTACTGAAAGGAAAATATTGTCTCACTTAAAATGGAACTAGAAATGAAACTTGGAGATTTACTTTTCCAAGAAGTAAGCAAAGGGTGCAATGAGAAGCAAGGCAATGATGTTTCTGTAAACTGGGTACACAACTTTGCTGACCCCAATGTTGAGTGCAACCCTGGATACGATGTGGAAACCTGCAAAGCAGAATTGCAGAGCAACTAAAGCTAGAAGAAGCTTTGTCTTCTCAGAGACAACTATGTTTTCTCTCCCCATACTTTCTCTTCTCCTTTAACTTTTGCTCTTGATTCACAGAAGAAAGGTGCTTATACAAACAAACATGGAGATGGAGGAATATATATACATAGGTAATTGGTAATTGTTTATTGTTTGGAGAATAGGTGTACCAAACCGCCCATAATTATATTCAAATATGATGCTTATAATTTTCTTTTTAGACTGGGAGTTTATAATAATTTACTACAATATATATATATATATATGCATATAAATACAATAATCATACATATACTTATTATTAGCAGTTATTTTTCATCTCTTGGTAGTTGGTACTATCTGATTTGCAGGTCACCTCTTCAGTTATGGTCTAATTCTTATTATACTAGAGTTTTGAAATTTGTTGAGGAGACAATATTGGAAGATAGCATGTTGGCCAGGTATTTAAATGACCAACTTGATATCTATATATATATATATTTTTGTGGGGTTTGTTTCCTTTTTTTTTTAAATAGGTATTATGAAACCACCCTTTCATTTTTCATTATAATATCGTTGTATCTTTGCATAAATAGTATATGTTAGGCTATCTTTTATTCGTTTAGATTTTCAAAAAAAGTTGGTTCAATCATTTTATTTCTTGTGATATTAAAATCAAAGGTTTTAAGTTTCTCGAATATAAGTTTGTCGATATACATTTAGTTCATATTTTGAAATTCTTTCTGAACTTCCATTCTTGTTTTACATTTTGGTCTACATGTAAGTTTAAAAATCTCATTATTATGTGAAATACATACGATAAATTATAGGATAATAAATTAAACTAATTTTATTTTTTATCTTCATTATTCAAGGAATAATAATCATCAGTGGACCAAATGCAATTAAAAAATGCTAAATTATGTTCATATCATTGTTACATGAATTATGAATCCCTAAGAAACCATAAAATATAGTAGTAATTACATGACTTCTCTAAATATAAAATTCATGGCTATAAATTTGTCAATCAATTATGCACCATGAGGAGAGAAGCAGTGTCTGCTATTTGACAAGTAAGTGGCATGATAAATTATTATTTCTCTCTGGGTATTGATAATTTTATTTTTCAAAACTGTGGTGATTGTCAGTTAGTCTAATTAGAGAAGAATTAATGATAGCATGTGGTGCCTTCATATCATATGAATTGGGCATCTCTGGTATTTGATGTAGAGAACAAAGTTTGTCTTCTCAAAGAAAAATAATTTATCTAAAAATAAAAAATAAAACTCAACATTTCGAGCTTGTCTTTTGGGTATTGTCCTTCAAGCTCATGGAGTGGAAAATGAATCAGAGTCATCTTTAACAAATGATTAATTCATTTCTTAGCAGAACTAGTAGGCCACATGCAAGAATATGCTCGTATATATTAACGGTTGAGTTTGTTTATGTTCTTTGAATTACCAAAATTCCCATTTTGTTTATACCAAAACCAGAAGAATTTGAGTCCAGATTGACTTCCAGCTTGTTCATCATCATTGTATATTTTCTCCAGTCTGAGAACACTCTTCTTTATCCATCATCATCTCTCTCTCTCTCTCTAGTTTCTGAATTGTTTTTGAACAAAGAACATTTTCAATTTATGTAAATATTTAACTTTATTATAAGTCCTTTGGGTCCTTTTTGACGAGTCTAATTAATTTTTTTATTGTTTTACATAAAACTTTTAGCCTTTTAGGGTACATTTTGTACACACTTGTGCTTCTTCTAAACATGAAAATGTGGAAGCTAAAGAATAACAAATCAAAATTATGAAAAAGAAATTTAAAATAAAAAATAGAAGATGATAGCTCTACTTATTTCGCAATACAGCTAGAACTGATCCGACCAAATCAATGATTTAAGTATAACCATAGCAGATAAACTGTGAGAATCCTTTAGCACTAACAGAATCATCAGATATCTTGAAGGATTATAATCTGCTTACACAGAAAGATCGAGAGGTACAACATATTCAGGGACAAAAAATCAGGGGTTAGAAATTAGGCAAAATCTCTCTCAAGAAGCAAGATAAATAATCAAAATCAGAGATTGCATTGTAGGAAAAATGCATGACAGAAGCCTCTCATTCATGAACCCTGCTGTGAAGTCAACTCAAGGGTTTTAACAAAGCTGCAATTTGGCAGTGTGCTGAGAATCTGTCTGCCTTGCCAATCAAGAACAAAGACACAAACCATCTTTTTTATTGTTACAGATAATCGTTAGGGTAACGTGCTGTTGTCTCAATTCTCCTATTATTAAATTTTCCTCTGACAAGATTCTAATTAAGAGAGATTTCTCCAAATTATAACCAATCAAACATTCTTAGAAAAAAAATAAATAAATAAATACTACAAATGTTGTCCATACGAGTCCTTTAACACCATCTTATTTTAATGGGTGTTTCAGCAATCAGAGTGTGCTCAACCATGGCAGAATAGATTTATATTGTTCAATTTGTATTATATAAAACTTGTATTATATAAAACTGAATTATTACATCCACTTCAATTATTTAAAAGATAGCATGTTGACTTGAAAGCACCATTACTGTAGGTAATCCTTCCTAATCTATTTAGAAGAGGATCTCTTGATGAGTACTAATGGTACCATCATCATTCAATTTTTTTAAAGGAGGATTTCTCGTCTTTTTATCTAAAATAGTTAAAATTAACATTAAATCATGAAACATTAACGTTCTATCCTCATCTTTTTCCATTTATTTTATGGAATCGTCAAAAAGTTCTACTTCATACACAACACTATTATTCAACTTTTTATTTAACAAAAAGATTTGTTATCTTGTGGGACGTTCCCATTTTCTAGTGAGAGTCTAGGGAGAGAAAGGCCCGTTGGCCATGTTCACGGGCTTGAGAAAATTTCTGGTTATTGGACAAAAATCTTTCGACGTGGTAGTGGAGGAGAAGGGAGTACGGGTCTACGAAAATGGGAAGGGCCTCCGTAAATCGATAATTTTTTCAGGAGGAGGATATCGATTGGCTGTTACAATGCTTTAAGGAATTTAGATGGGAGAAAGGGGAGTTCGCTTGGGGCAGATGCCGACGCAGCAGTTGGAGAACCTTGCGGATAGCATTGAGTGGTAACATAAATGATAAATTTCTCGTGTTTTCGGAGAAGAAGGGCGGGCCAAGAGGTAGAATCAACAGATTATTCCTCCCGGAGGGTGAGAAAGCAGAGGGATGGTGGAAGATAATGGAGGCGCTCCATGAGGTGATGAGAGTAAAGTTGATACCTCCAGACTGGGTGTCGAAGAAAAGCAAGATGATTGAATAGGGTGAACTGACTACTTTTTTCGTAAAATGTCCGGGGTGTAAAGGAGAGTTACGATTTCGATCCGTTATGAGGAAAGGTTGTTCTTTTGCTGAAACCCTAATGAAATCAGGGATGGAAGGTGACGGGTCAGGTTATTTCAAATTTTTGAAATCGCCTCTGATGGTGGTCACGTGAGGGGGCGCAGAGCAGGAAACAAAAAATGCGTTTCGACGGTATGGGCCAAGGAGACATGAGGCCCGGAAGGTTTAGAGGAAGAAAACTAACTTGGGCTAAGGAAGGGAAGTGGGTTGATCAACTTGGACCTAGTAGAGTTTCGGGTCGTAAACAGGTGAAAGTAGAGGCCCAAACGGATTTTGCGCAGTTCTTCAGAATTAAATGACCAACCATATAGGGGTCAACGTGGCAGTGGATCAATTACCCAAAAAATATGAGAATAGAGGTCGGTGAGAAAGATGAGGGAGAAAGAATCGAGACGGAAGTCTTCGAAGAGGAGATTGAAGCCATAGCAGAAGATGAAGGTGAGAAAGATGAGGCTCCTTCTTTGGGCATCTCTACAAAAGGGGAAGATGGAGAGGAAAAGGAGATGAGAGAGATATGATTAGAGTGGCGGGTTCCATTGAGGAAAATTCGAAGTTGTATGAGATTATGGTGATGGTGGAGGAGGGTGCAGACGCATTGGACGTATTTCCTATCCAACGCGATGATCTCTTTCTTCATGGACCAACGCTTCTAACAGAGGAGTCAGGCAGAGAGAAGTTCTATTCTGACTAGGTCCAGAAGTATTTTTTAAAGGTTAGTAAGATGTTTGGTGTTTCTTTTCTTGGGATGGAATCTAGAATTCTAAATCTGCTTGAGGAGATTGAGTCTCGTTATCAAGTGGAATGGAATGAAAAAAAGAGAGAAAAAAAGGTTAAAAGAAGGCAAAGGGACGGGGAAAGTCGGGAGTTAAAAAGGCTGCAATGGTCAGTGAACTATGGCCGAAAAAAGAGTAGCAGGAAGGGAGAGGGGGTT